ATATTGATTGACCGGAGCGGGGGAGGGGAGATTCCCCGGGAATAAATTGGGACAAACGGATTTTGTTTCCGGCTTCATACCATGTATTTGTCTCGTTTGAGAGGCGGGGGCTGAAAACCCCCAAAGGGTTTTTATTTTTCTCATAAATATTTTGGGGAGACCAGAAGTCCCCCCCCCTTACAGTAGAATGTGGCTAAAGCTGCCGCCTTTGCCCAGACCTGTCCCGAGGGGGTTGTTCCCACCCGCTCTCATGCCCCCAACCCGGTTTGTTCGCAGGGGCCCAGGCGCAGGTGCGGCTGGAGGAGTCCGGGGGCGGCGCTGCGAACACAGGCGGCTCCAGGCGGCTCTCCTGCACCGGCTCCGGATTCACTTTCAGCAGCTACGACATGTTCTGGTACCGGCAGCGCCCCGGGGAAGGGCTGGAATGGGTCTCCTGGATTAGCAGCACTGGCGGCAGCACAGATTACCCTGACTCGGTGAAAGGGCGATTCACCGTCACCAGGGACAACGCCAAGAACCAGCTGTATCTGCAAATGAGCCGCCTGGGACCCGAGGACACCGCCCGGTATCACTGCGCTGCGAGAGACACAGTGCGGGGAAGCCAGGCTGAGCTCTGACAAAAACTCGCTGCGTTCAGCCCAGGGGATTCGGGAGCCTCTACTGACTACCATCCCTGTGCCCCTCCTCCCGCAAGGGTCCCTGTGGGGCCCACTGAGGTCACTCAATTAGGGGGAACTGCAAAGACTGGTGGATGCCATGCCCCGCCTCCCTGTTTGGGGAGGCATAGGCTCCCCCAGCCTTCCTTACCCACCCTCCATACAATTTCTGTACCCGATGTGGCTCTAGGGCCAAAAAGTTTGCCCACCTCTGCTCTAAATGTTAATATTCCCGTTTGATCTCTGAATTAGTGGCTATAGAGACAGACAGGGACTGTCCGTTTTCGCCTGTAGCATCTAAGATACACACAATTAATATTACCTCTAACTTCTAACACACAGGTTGGCATTTCAAAGTTCTAACCTACTTAGCATGCAATGACCCTAATGATCATTTCTAACATGTCTTTAAAGGTCGGCTTTGGGTTTGTTAGGCTGCAAAG